TTTGTTCCGCTCTTGCGGTGGCAGACTGGCCTTTGAGGAAGACGATCGGGTCGAAACGTCAGGCCGTTAATAAATTTGTCACCTAAAAACCTCGTTGGCAGAAAAAATACACAGAATTCAACAACGATGCCGAGGTTCTATGAAGGGAGAACTTGGAGAAATGTAGATTAGGCTCCACTCTTGGTTAAAATAGGTATAGTAAGTTCGTGCAGTATCTTTCTCTGCAAAAATACTCTTCGTGAAGTCAGCAGGAATAAGCAACTGGATTGGAACCATCCGCTTAGCTCATTTCACACGAAACTATTGTACAATTGGCCCTCATGCCGTTGGGAGGGAGGGGGAGTGAAGACATACAACTGAGTGAGCCACTCACAGAGCATGGAACAAAGCTTTAGAGTGGGGCTGGGATTCTAGGAGACCATGGCAGCAGTTTCTGTTCTCCCTAACGTTCCTCCCCTCTCTTGGGCTTAGTCCCCCTCACCTACCAGCGGTTTTCGAATGCCCTGTTTTGAGTGTCCTCCGCCCCTCCACTCTCCCTCAAAGACATGAGCGCCCTACAACTTGGAATCTCCATGACTGCTGAATGGAAAGGGTGAATGGAGACAGAGAGAGTATACCGTAGCGAGGTTGCAGGAGTTCTATCTTGAACTACCTCGATATGCGCCACACATTCGACTACAATTTTGAGCTGTAGCGAAGTTGCATCATGACTTTCCAGTGAATCATTTCGGAGCCAGACAATGTACACGTCAGTGTTTCCCTCTTCCACTCAAGTACGGTCCCAATTAGCGGAGCTACGAGAGATGGAAAGCCTTATTAACATTGAAAATTCCAGTTTTAGCGCTACTAAAAAATACAGTGCATTGCGTTTACCTCGTATTATTAGACCAGCTAGAGATAAGAGTATTATCCACGCAGGATCTGCATGATTCACTACATCGTACAAGTACAATGTAGCGCTAGTGGAAAACGATATAAGCGCCGTTGCACTTCGGTAACACCCAATGTTGCCATGCTTCGTGATTTCGCGTGTAAATGGCAGGAGCCCCCTCCCCGTTTCTCTTGGATGTCTTGTCTTCCATCCTAATTGGCTCATACTATTTTCCAGAGGCCAAGACTTGTTTTCAAGGATTGAAACACCGTCATTATAGTACTTGCGATAGTCGCTGTAGTGGGTGGCCGTCGTCATCATGGACCAAGAGGACCACCGCTACCACCGCCACCATTTTTTCTGGATTATGTTGGTCAAGAGGCCAGACGCGAGTACTACAATATAATGCATAATATGAACATCACCATCGCCGAACAGAAGAGTGAAGTTCTAACATGGGCAACAAAGAATAACATCACAGTGAGCATTTTTGGCAAGAATTATCAAAAATTAATCGGTCCCGATTTCTTGTGAGATTATTGTATTTCTTTATGGAGTTGATGTAGTTTCCATGAAGAACAAAATGGTTTAGGTGTTAAGTTAGAGTCTTTTGGTTCTATGCCTCCCGTCTTCACAAGGCCATAAAATCCTACCAACCAGTTCAGGACACCTCCAATTAGTCCACCTTTGACTTGAATAAACAGGCCTAACACAGCTAAGCCTAAGCCTAAGCCTGACTGAAGCTCAAGAGTTGCTATGGATCAAGCCTAAGGCCAACTTTGGAATGCAGTCACTGCGCAGCTCTGGCTTCCTGATCTATCAGGAAAAGTGAATTGCTTAGCTGATAGAGGCATATAGAAAAGGAGAGTAGGCAAAAATAAGGATTTCGGATCGAGCTATGCGTTTGGGCCTATCTCCTATGACTGATTTTGTGAGCATGCTTATGATTGACGATGATAGTCGCATCAATGCTAAGATCAACGGGCAAGGAAGGGGTCCCTTTTCTCGGGTTCTGGAATCGAGACTTTCCCTCCGAAGAGCCGTAGTTGAAGCGCGCGCAACCGACTGGGCCCACTCTGGGATGCGCCGTGTGCTTCACATCCCTTCATATTCGAGGACTCATTGAAAGATAAAATATCCGTTGGAAAACGTGCGAATTTCGGATTCTTTGTTCCTCATGGTTTTCCCTTCCTTGTGTACACCTCACCTCGCTAAATTAATTTTGCCTTTCCAGCGTGAATTCGTCCTTCAAGGCATACCTGGCGTCTGCATTCTATCGCCCTTTCTCACGTTTTCCGTCTCCTCGCAGGGCTTTGTGAGAAATAATTAAGTGTTTTAAGTGTTTTCTATGGTGCTTTTTGCTTTGTTTCCATTAGCGCTCCACTTCGCATTCATCTTTTTATTTGGCTAATTTTTGGACAAACCGGTGTTTTAGATAGGAAGGGAGTGCGTGACCCCGAAAAAAGACTGCTCACAGCAGAATACTTTTTATGGTTCTACTCCATCTCTAATGCCTCACTCAGTAATAAGACTCCACTAGCCGGTTGAAAGATCCGCTACTTCAAGGATTTTGTCTGGGAATCGTCACTGTTTTCAGAAAATAGTGGAAGAATTCAATGCAAACACGACTAAGATGATGGACGAAACGAAACAAAATGTGACAGCACTGATCACCAAACTGCCAACAGCACTGAATAAGATATTAGAAATATTGAACAATGAAAACCAGACTGTTGTGCAGAAGAACCAGGCTTTGGCCGATATGAACGCTCAGGAGCCGGAGGTTGAACTTTTTTGCTCTTGGTGCTACAATGACTTTACTGAGGAATCGTGGGAATGTGTTCTACCATTTAGGCTTACAGTGTCATTCTTAATGTTTTCGACATGTTCATGCCTTGTGACTGCGATGATGGAGGGGCCGGTGGACCTGGAGGACCCGGAAGACCTAGAGGGCCCGGTGGACGTGGAGGGCCTGGAGGCTCTCGTGGTCCACCAGGAGATGGATGGAATCCACGATTCCAGCCTAGTGGTTATGGAGGCTCTCAAGGTTCTCAATTAACATGCAGCATTCATTTACGCTATAGTTGCAGAATATAGCCTCTTCGGCTCTTCCAAAAATATCCGTAGCTCACACATTTGAAATTTTAGGGATGAACGGATTTGGTCGATCGCGAGGCCGCGGATACTACGACTCCGACGAGTGGTATGACAAGCGTGGTCAGGGAGGATACAGAGGTTGACTGTT